GTTGATTCATCTGGTCTTTTAAGAGTAAAGTCAAGAATATTAATGAGACAAGACTTTCGAAAATTTTAGAACACCTGTAATCCTACCTCCTGAACATCCAGTTGTCTCTAAACTGATTATGGAAAAACATGAACAACAAATGCATTGCGGAACTCAGACTTTAATGGCAATGCTACGAGAAAATTTCTGGATTTTGAAAAGTCGTAAAACTATTCGTAAAGTGTTGAAAAACTGCACTAAATGTAGAAGATTTGATTCGAGGCCCTCCACGGTACAATCCGCACCTTTGCCAAAGGACCGTGTTAAAGATTCTTCTATTTTTGAAGTGACAGGTATCGACTTAGCTGGCCCTTTGTTTTTAAAAAATGGATCGAAAACGTGGATCGTTTTATTTACATGTGCTGTATACAGGGCAATTAATCTTGAACTGTTAACGTCTTTGTCAACAGATAACTTTTTATTGGCTTTCCGTCGTTTTATAGTTCGCAGAGGAAGACCTGAAATTGTCTACACTGATAACGGTAGTAATTTTATTGGTACAAACTGACTGACTGGGATAAACTTATTAAGAATCATGTTGTCAACCGCATTAAGTGGAAATTTATCCCACCCTGGTGGAGTGGATTTTGGGAAAGAATGATTGGCCTGATGAAAAAGATTCTCAGAAAAGTTTTAGGTAATGCCTCACTGAAATATGAAGAACTCTATACGATCCTCTGTGATTGCGAAAATATCTTAAATTGCAGACCATTAACTTATATTTCCGAGGACTTGGAACTGGAACCCTTGACACCTGCAATGTTTTTTCGTGATCTAAAAGAAAGTGGCGTTCCAGATCTAGATATTATTGATGCCAAATACTTACAAAAAAGGTATGCATATCAGATGAAGGTTAGAGAAGATCTAAGAAAACGGTTCAGAACTGAATACTTAGGACAACTGAAAAACCATATTTTAAAAACAGAGAAATATGTTAAACTATCGGTTGGAGACATTGTGTTAATAGAAACACCTGAGAAAAGAATTAAGTGGCCTCTAGGAAAAATTATAACACTCATCCCAGGAAATGATGGTGTAGTTCGTTTAGTAAAATTACGCACCAAAAGTGGCGAAATCCTTCGACCCATACAACGAATTTATCCGTTGGAAGTCCATTTACAAACGGATAATATATAGGAACGACTGTTTGAGAAAGAAGCATTCTGATCAAAAAATGTGTGATAAGCCTACAACTTCTATTGGATCTACAGAGTTTCGTGCCACTGACAAAGATCAGTCAGATGAACTCAATCAGAATCCCCTCAAAACAACTAGATGTGGACGAGTGATTCGAACTCCTGAACGATTAAACCTCATGAACTTTCAACCAGACTGTGGCTGAGTTTCAACTTCAACTTGGTGAAACTCATCGGGGGGAGTGTGTCGCGAACGACGCACGCTCCGCTCTCTTGAGGAACGGATTGAGCCTCCAGACCGACGAGAATTGAAAAAGAAAGTTTGTTTTTTGAGAATGGCAACGATAAGTGTATGCTTTTAGAACAGATGACGCAGTAGACTAATGACGCTTTAGATATGTAGAACAATGATGCTAAGTAGTTAGAAGTGTTTTTTTGATAGTGTAATGATTTAGATATTGTTCCTCTTTTGTGTCAAATGTCAAATAAAGTGATTCATACAAAATAGTGCCAATTTTAGATGAGTTTGGAACCAAATCGGAGTCTACAAAAGCTGCAGACCAGAATCGAAGAAAGCGGATCATAAAGGTAAGCAATCTTTCTTTATTTGCTTATCTAGAATTTTGAATGATCTGTTTTTTACTGAATTGAAACGATAAAAGCTTCAACTATTTTTGATGTTACAAAATTATAAAACTTGCATGAAACTATTGAAAATGCATTGACAGGGTTCGTAGCCACATTTTAGTTAAAAAAATAAGCACCTATAAGCACTTTTCAAGCACATTTTAAGGAAAAAATAAGCACCTGTCTAATTACATTATACACAACTGCATAACCTTAAAATAAAAATTAGACTTGTAATTTAAAATATGAGCAATGCAATATTTATTAAGAGAATGAGGACTACCTCAACCATGGAAAACAATTAACTTTTTTTTTTTTTAAAATTTTAAATGACAGCTCAATTTACAGAATTAGTTTACAATGAGAGAAAAAAAAAACTAAGCAGAACTAAACTATATTACAAGATTTAATGATGAAATTTCAGTTCAAAATATAGAAAATAAATAATAATAAGCCATATTAGTAATTGTATTTGTTTGGCACCTGATAATATATATAATTTATTTTTTCACTAATATTAATATTTAAATAATTTAACTTAAATCAAAATTCTGAACATTTTCTAAATTTTCATTGCATAACAGTTTTCCCTTAACATATATTCCAAGCAAAGTAACTTAAGTAAAAAAGAGGCACATTTCTGAAATAATAAGATGGAAAATTGCTTCATGCAGTCTTTAATAGTAAAAGCTTAACTAACCCGCATACTCGGAAATTGCCGAATATTCCGGATAGTAACTGGAAAGAGGAATGGGGGAGATTGTAGCCGTTCTTTAGATTTCTCGGCTAAATAAATGATTTTGACATTTCAATATGTGCATCATATAAAAATAGACCAATGGAACTGAGAAATATTTTGCTTAGAAAGCACAGTATGCGGCATAATTCTTCCACATGTGATATTACGCAATCAGGATCAACAGCTGCCGGTATTCGAAGAATAAAGAACTAAATAAGGAAAAACAAAGAGACTTACTAATCTGGGGTGTTTCTGATTCTAATTTTCAGCAGACTGCGTTAAATTTTCGGAATAGAATAATCAATCTTTGCTTGGGTTGGGTCGACTGCAAAAACTTTTAGTCCTATTCAATCCAGATTGGACAGTGACACAAAAAAAAGTCTGCTGCTTCAATATTTGAGATTTTGCGGAGAAAGGGGAGAACCTCCTAACCTCCGTACTGTATAATGTATTGGGAAAAAAAAAAAAAAAAGAAAGAAAAAAGAAAAGAAGAGAAATTATTTTGACTATTCGATTACTTTCCTATTATTTAAACCATTTCGAATATTAGAAAGCTAATCTGTGTAAAAACACACCCATTTTTGGAAGTTTATACTTCAGCAGTTACTGCAACTATATTATTATAAATATTCATGCATATGCTCATAATATAAGCATAACAATCATAATAAACACGAATATGAACTGATCACACGGTACGAGAATGCAAATTTATTAAAATCTTGATAGAAATTCAAATGTGTATAGTATTTGGGTGGGAAGAAAAGAATACCGAATGTACCGGAATTTTCTACAGTTTTCGCAATTCTTTGACCAATAGAACGATGTGCACCTGTCTGTTCTCTTGCGTGCACCATAGGTTACGTCAATGCAGAGAAAGGGGGAAAAGCAATTTCCGGGAGTATGATTCACCATCTGACGTTGCATATAAAGAAAGAAAAGTTGATTATTTAGTTTCAGCTTCGGTACGGGGAAAAAATGTGCATTCATTAAAAAAAAAAAAGGATTAAAAAAAGCACTAAAAGCAAAAAATAAGCACTAAAAAACAAAAACAAAAATAAGGGCTTTAAAGAAAAAGTAAGCACCTATAAGGGCCTTTATATTTTATTTTCAAATATAAGGACTTATAAGCACTTGTAAGGACCGCTACGAACCCTGATTGAAGTCTGGACCACATTCCAAGCTAATATGAAGAACTCAGAGATTTATCCTATGAAAAATTAACAAAACCTAAATATGAATGCCATGAAACTTAGAGAGGATTTAAAAGAACAGCTTTCAATAAAAGTTAACACTGAAATTGTTAGCGAGCAATCAGCGAGAAGGAAATTCTTCATCAACAAGAAAAATATGCCTGATATTCACAAAATCTATGGTAAGAAAAGGTTTATTATATTAAAACAATGTTATATTTGCAAATGAGTCACAATTTAATATGTTTAGGTCAGATGGACGAATTGCTATGTGGTGAAAGCTGAATGAAGAACTGGATCTGAAAATCTAATTGTCTACTGTTAAGCATAAGGCTTGAGGCATAATGGTTTGAGGACGCTTCGCTGCCTCTTATAAGAAATATATTTTCTATAGAAAATAATACAGATGAGTATAAATACATAAATGTTCTTAACCTGAAATAATATGCAAGAAACTTGGAATGCAAAATATGTTCGGGTTCTACCAGAATAACAATCCTAAACATACAACATTATATGTTCACTTGTGGTTATTACATAGTTTTCTTGAAGTTGTCAAAATTCCTCCATATTCTCAGAAAGTGAGTTTGAAAAAGAATAGAGAAACATGGCATTTCTTCAAAAGTATTATTAAAAGCTATTTTTATAGGGGATTATTAACATTCTTAAGAAAATAATAATAATAATAATTGAATCCATGAAAAGTGTATTTTTAGCTAAAGGATATCTAAAAGAATTGAATGTGCTATTATTTTCATGTTTTTATTAAATATAGCCTGTTTGTTCAAAGTGGCCAAATCCTTAACATGATTTCATTTTAAGAACTTTTTGGATAAATTATTTTTTTGATCAAACACACTTTGAATGATTTTTTCCAAAAGAAAAAGCAGGTTTTAAAAAAGATGATCAATGGTATATGTGAAAAAAAAATAGTTATTTTGCTAGTATTTAGTAACTGATATTTTCAAATAAAACTGGAAAACCAAAGTGCCTGGAAACAAATGTGAGCCCCTGTATTTCATGCAGGAAATAAAAACTTTTTCATTAAATTTGTAAATAAAGAATATAAAAGTCAAAATCAAGAAGAGGAAATTATTCATATAATAAAAAATAACAGAACTTAATTAAAAATGTATATTAATGGCTCAAAAAAAAATTCTTGAAAAAATTTTAATCTTAGAACTCTAACAAAAAATTTCTTAAGATTTTTCACTTTACTTTGTTTTTTGTACTTTACAAAGAGAAATCGAAGCATAACTTGCTTACCATCAAAATGAAAAAACTGATTTCTTGACTGATTGCTTGACTGGTTTCCAGCTTCTTGATCTAAAATATCTACATGATTGAAGTTATTTACAGTATTATTACAATCCCGTTCTGTGCTATCACTTAGAGCTTTACGACAAGTTGGACATGAGGTGTCTTGTTCCAACCATGAACGCAAGCATGAACTAAAAGAAAAATAAATATGTGCAGATTATTACAAAAAAAAAGTTAAATTTGCAAGCTAACAGTTTATTTTCTTTCAAATAATTTCAAATCTCACTTTCTACATAAAAAACAATTCCCAGTTTTTTTTTTTTTTTTTTTTTCATTAATCTGCCCCTTGGAAGCTTATTTACATAAATTGCACCCTTCATACTATTAAAATATCTACAGCTAATACAACTATAGTTATTTTAAATTTATGTACTATAACCATAAATTCAGAAACCAATAATGAGACTACAAAGCAATCAAAAAAGAAGGGGAAAAACATATACAGATTTGCATTCAAAACTTGAAAAAAACAACAGATTCAAGGAAATAGAAGGCCTTCACAATAAAAAGTGAAAATATTGTTAAAAAAGTCAGTTTTTTTTTGTTTTGGACTTTCATCCTGATTAATACACCTGTGATAAGTGGTTTTCCAACATTATTCTTTTTTTAGACACACCACTAAATGTGCTGCTTCATAACAAAGATTGGAGAGCATTGATTTCAAACTAAGGTTTATATTGCATTGTGCAAGTAAGGAGTGAAATATTTTATATTAACTATCATTCTTTTATTATTATTGTTTATTATTTTATTTTTCTGTAAATCTTAAAGAACATCAGGCAATCTAGAATTCATTGAGATGGAAATAGTTAAGCAAACACAAGATCCTTGCTATATTTTAACAAGTTTTTTCATTTACTACATAAAAAAATTTCTTAAATATGCAGACAATACCAGAAATTCCACAGCCATTGCTGATAATATTCTACCCAAATTGCTCAAGAGATAACAACATATATATTTCACCTAACTTATCATATAAAAATGTACTACAAGCAGTTCATATTTATCATACAAAAATCTGCTACTAGTAGTAATAGCATAAGATACAATTTTGTAAATAGCCATAACTTTCAAAACAAGTTATCTAACCAAATACATGCAACAATAAAAATATTTTATTCTGCTTTATGAGACATCTCTATTAAAAAATATCTTTATCATGCATTATGAAGTGTATATTGCAGTTACACTAGTTAGAAGTGGCACTTGAACAGACATCTATAAACTAAACATAAACATTTAATTTAAATTAATGCACAAATAATACAAAATTAAAATTGCATTTTTGATTCATCAAAGATTAACATCCTAGGTTTTTTTTTTACAACAATAAGCAAAGCATTTTTGCCAGCTCTATATTGAGTACTAAATTAATTCTAGATGGGTATACTTAGTTGAGAACCGAGTTACTTCTTCTAAATGGGGTTATTTTCATCAAACACTATATACAGTACAAAGTCCGAGATTCAGACTCGTCAGGACTTCGGCGATTCCAGATTTGGGATTTTTCCAGATATTAGATCATCAGTTTAAAACTAGCAAGATGGCATGTAGAAATTTTAGAATTTAAAATATGAAATTGCGATTTATGAACAAATTTTACAAAGAAATTATGAAGATTAGAAAAGATTTATGAAGTGTAACAAATTTTACAAAAGAAAAGCTTAATATTTATTTGTTTACTTTATTAAACATTTCTTTGATGGAAGTTGTTTAAGTTGCTTTTTTTGTACTAATATTTTCTTTTTAATTCTATAGACAGACATAATTTCTTATTCAATTACAGAGCTCTATTGATCAAGTCCTGTAATTGCTGGGTCGAGAATTCCGAGTAACTTCTCAATCAAAATTTTTTCGCTTTCAATAACCTATCTGCCAGTTTCTTTACTATCAGTAGTGGTATTTTGTGGATCTAGAACCACGCTACAGATTTCATCGTCCGTTAATTAGTTGATGATTGGGTCGCTGTCATTGCATTGAAAAACTGCACTTATATCATCTTCATTTATTACCATTTCTCTACATTTCTTTAAAAAATTCATTTATTAGAAAATTCACCATTGGTTTGTGACATCCGAAAACCTTCACATTCGCAGCTATCATTTTCATCATCCTCACCATGAAATATAGTAATTGGCCATAAATTATGCCAAGCATATTGTAAAGAATCTGAGGACACATCCTCCCATGATTTTGTGATACTTTAACCACAAAGCAGATTTTATGCTTAAATATTTCAAACATTCTTGAACAGTCTTGTCATTTGTCATTATTCAAGAAATTTAACATTTTAATTTTTTTATTTACAAGATTTTGAAAAAGTCTATTTGATATTTATATTACAGCGCGTGCACTATTCCAATATCCACAGACTGATGGCTGTACAATTTGGAGAAAAATATAATACAGATACATTTTCTTTCACTAACACTTTAAGTGATGTATCAGCCGAACAGTTTTCTACAATCAGGACAATTTTTGTGTCCTCAAGTAAAATAACCAAATTATGCCAAGCCTTGGGTATGAAATGATTTTCAAACAAATCATTCGTTAATACTTGTGTCAACCATGCTATTTTATTTCCACGTTATATAAAGGGGAAAATCTTTACTCCTTTAAATTCTTGAGGCCACGTATCTTTTCTGACTACAAAAAGTTGACACTTGCAGCATTTGCTCATGCTAAAATTGTTTGTCTCACTTTGGAATCTTTGACACCAGTTGAAGCCTTTTCTGTAGAGGTTGCCAAGTATTTTGTGAAGCATATTGCCAGGGAAGACCAGTTTCATCAGTGTTGTAAGTTTGTTACAGAGATAACTTTTCACTATTGATGAATTCAATGAATTCATCCGCAAATAGTTCAGCAGCTTCAGTATCAGCTGAAGCTTTTTCTCCTGAAATTCTAATTTGCCTTATACCATGGCAATTTTTAAATTTGGTTAACCAACCTCCTGAATATGTGCACTCAGTTAAGTTCATTTTTTAGTGAAATATTTTAGCTTGAGCCATTAGCATTGGACTCGTCAATGGCATGTACTTGCTGCGATGATGTCCAGAACATTCAAGTCATGATCTTCACTTTTAGCATATCAAATAATTTTTCTGTTATTCATTGTGAGTGGGGTGTCAGAATCTACAAAAAAAATCACAAAGTTCCTTTTTTTGTTTTCTTATGTCGTATAAAGTTGACTTTCCAATGTGATACTCCCGCCTAATTTTGAGACGGATATACTGCTGTATACTTTTTGCAGCAATTCTACATTTTGTTTAATGGACATCAAATGCGCTTTTGCTTTGTAGATCCTGTTGCAGCTCCTGAAAATTTTTTTAATAATAATTTTTTAATAATAGAAATTTTTTTTTACTTTTAAGTTCAAACTTTAATTTTCATAAAATTGCTGTATTAAAAACAGCCTGCAAAAAATAATAAGCTGGATCAAATCAGAAAGTTAAGAAATAGTGTAACCTCCTATACTGAAATTTCTTCAAATAAAAAAAGTATAATTTTAGCCTAGATATAACAGCATCCGCGACACATTATTGACTATGTATCATGAGATTGGCGATGAAAGACAAGTTGTCCCACTAAATTTTGTCTTTCTTCTATTGCACACTGAGAGAATTAAGCCTGAATTATATTAGTTTAGTTATTTATTATACTTACATCTCTTTCTTCGACATGCTTAAGGCATATCTATGTCCTGAACAAATAAATTTCTACGTATACTTAAGGCTTATCGAAGGCCGTGCAAGCTATCTTACCGCCTGATGCTGTCTCTGTGGGTACTAAATTCTGCTACCAAGTACATTCCTAAGTTCTAAACTTTTGCTGCCCATAAATTTTGGATCACAGTGATTTCCTTAAATTCGAAAAATTGTTTATCCTTTGAATTTGTTGCTCAGTGTTTCTCTAAAATTCCAAAAATTTGTCTTACCTAAATTCTGTCGCCCGGTGCGCCCATATGAGCTCTGGAGCTGGTTCTGGGTTTATGTGAAAAACAAATCAGTTATTCTTAATTTAAAGAACACTAAATTTAATCTTTTGGCCTATGAGTATCATTAACAAAACCTGTTTTTAGCATATGGAAAGAAATGCTTATTAAATTTTCCTCGTCAGCATTTCTTAAAGAACATTTAACTCAAACCTGTAGTCATTGCCACATTCTTTGTTACTAAATTATTAGTATAAAAAATTGTTTAGGCATTGCTGGATGAGTCATTATTCAAGTTGCTTTTATCACTGCATTTATAAACATGCAGTGATGAAAGCAAAATATAATAAATAATGATTCGCCAAGTTGGCGTCAGGAATATAAAATATTAGTAGGCGTAAAATCAACAATGTTTGTATGTAGAATGTTTCAGTTTGAGATGTATGCAAAGCAAATACGCAGCCAAAATTATTGATCACACAAATTTATGAAAAACTATTATTTCTTCAGTAACGAGGCATTTATTTAGTGTCAAAGTAAAATTTAAGAATAGTAACTCTTCACACATTTTATTGTGGGGCAAAAATCAAATATGCATGCTTGAACCATACAAAAAAAAATGTTGTTCATGGTTTTGAGGTCCGGATTTTAGATCATTCCGGATATTGGACATCTGGATCTCGGACTCTGTACTGTATTAAATATATAGTGTTTGATCCAAGTATATCCATCTAAATGATCACTTATTTTCCTGCAAGACACAGTACTTTTAGCTATTATAAAACTACATGGATATTTTAGAATTTTGAGATGAAAGAACCTGCTTTTAGTGTACAACTATTGGAAAATTTATAGTGCTCACAGCAGTGATGGAAGGAAGTAATAAAGTACGATTCTGACAGTACTGGCACATATAAAGTTGAACCTTCACCTTACCACAGTACAGTCAAAAGTCTTTAATCCGGACTTGTCAGGACTTTGGCAATTCCGGATTATCGGTTTTTCTGAATTATAGATCATCAGTTTAAATCTGGTAATATGGCATGCAGAAATTATAAAATTAAAAATATGAAACTGTAATTTATGAAATAAAGAGTAATTATGATCTAAAGCGTATCAAAATTTACAAAAAAAAAAAAAAAAAAAAAAAAAAAAGGCTTCATATTTATTTGTTTACTTTAGTAAACATTTCTTTCAACGCGTGCATGCGTAAAGCATACATACATACGCATAGTCAAAATTAGAAAATTGCAACCACAAAACTATTTGATGTGTATTCATGATATTTATAATGACGAGGAATCTAATTTAAACCATATCAAAGACGGAGTACATCGAGATGAAATACTACATTTAGTAAGCCGAATCAAATAAAAACATCTGCCCTGAAGATGTGGATAGTGCTAACAGATCAACTTCCAGTTCATTGCACGCCACGATGTTGAGACATTTACGCTGTCTGTTAGTTTTTCATCAGTTACAGTTCTTTGTGTAAGTAAATATAACAGTGCTATTTGAGAAATTTCCACTTTAAATGCACCTTCTCTTTGGCTGCATTTATGAAAAAGCATCATAATCTTTAAATTTTTTTTCAGGCTTTAACCTTTTGTCTTTGGCATTTTTGATAGATACAAATTACACAGAGCAAGTTAAAAAATTCTTTTTCCAACGATTGGTTCAAATTCAAAATTAATGCTACATATTAATATACAATTAAAATATAGCATTATTGGCTGGAAGAAAGATTGCACTTTGCCTAACAACTAAGACGATCCTCATGATTACATGTATAACTAATGTTTCCTTTACTTTTGTTAAGCCTTCAATGACCACTCTCCTTTTTCATTCAAAGACAGATAATGTATGACAATTGCAAGGAAGCACTAATAAAATTTTCAGAGAACTTTCTGAAAACTTAATGTGGGTATTCCTTACAGAAAGATTTTTAATGTGGCAGGATGAAGAAGTTATATTTTTGTCCCCTATTAGTTAGCATTCAAGATGGAAAACTAGGGCTCACTTAAACAGCAACTTTAATAGGGAGGAACACTCTCTCATTTACAGTGCCTCTAGAGAACTGCTTTTATTAAGATAAAGAAGTTCTGCCACTCCGAGACAAACAGATTTACAAAAAATGACAGATACCAGGAAAGGATAGAACCAATATTCCAATAGGAGTATTAATAGGTCCACAGTGGACAAAAATTTCTGATAAAACTCTTTTATTGAAGCAGTACATAACTGAACGACAGCTTTGATAGGTGCCAGAATGATATTCTAACACTGAGGAATCAGTCTTTGCCAAACCTGAGTTTTATAACCCAGAGATGAATTTAATAAATGACAGTTTTTCTGCTGATTAGTATATATATATTGGTTCCCAAAATTTCTGAAAGTAATAAGCATCTGATTTTATTAACGAGTTTAATAAGTGGCAGATAATACACATATATACACACATATAGTTCCAACAACTAATGAAATGATGTTAATAAATAATAACTGTATTAATTTCATGAATTTATTAGCTTTGAATCAAAGTATATCTGTATTTGCATTACACTAATACATAAAACTATGCATTAAATAAGAAAATTTAAGTATTCAAAAATATTATATTGTAACCTAGTATATTTAAGTTCAGACATAATAATGTAACAAGACATTTTTCACATTATTCAGGCTAGTTTAAATATTTGGTCTATTTTTGTAAAGATATTTTTTTCATTAAAGTTACTAATGTAATAAATTTTTTTCATTCATTTTACAGAACAAATGAATCAAACAATTTCCTGCTCTGAAGGACTTACTTATGAAACAGATGACCACATGGAAGTTTTCTGGCTAAATCTAAATGATCCCAGCATATGGCACAATCATCATTATTCTTATTCAGTTCATTAGCTGTTGCCATTGGATAGCTAACAAAAAGTATTTATCAATTAATAACACTTAAAACTCTTGTGCAAGTAATTTGTAAATATCAATAAAAATTAAACCATAGGAATAAAATGAAGACCCATGTTCCTTACTCTCGAATTGCATTCTTTAAATAAATTTTCAGACAGATTTTAATAAATGATAAGATTAGACAGATATTGGTAATGAAGACTATAATAGTGAAGTCATGTTTACAAAAGTATTTAACATTTTCATTTTCTTTCAATTGCTTTTATATATTGCATTTATTTCCATATGTATTTATATATAGTACAAAGAAATTAGTTACATGCTATTTTTCTTGTACACCATCTGGATTAAAAATATTAAACCCAGACATGCATTTCCAATCATCACCTTTAAAAAAAAAAATGCAGAATTTTCTAAAATCATATTGGAAAAAAGAAAATTCTACAAATAAAAAATAGTTGTGTTTTTATGGTCTCATAGAACAAAGGTCCAAATAGCAAAATGTTTCTTCTGCTTTAATAAGATAAACACAATGGCGTAGCTAGGGTGGGTCAAGGGGGGACATCTGTCCCCGGGCGCAGCATTCAGGGGGCGCCAAATTGATGGTACGAAATTTTAGAATAAAGTGTTTTCCATTCGTGGCAAACAGAAAGAGGCACAAAATCTCCAGTTGCTCCCCGGGCACTAAAAATCTTAGCTACGCCTCTGGATAAACACACCACCCCTTACCTTTAAAATTCAAAAAAAGAATTATAATTTATCTTCCATTTCTTTTATAATTCCACACAATATCAGTTTTTTAAAGCATGTAAATATTTAAAAAGTTACCTTTATATTAAAAGTATATTATTTCAATACACTTTAAATATAGTTTTTTAATACATCAGAATTCCTAAGTGGATGCAGTAACCTTGAGAGATTAAGAAACAATGAATGTAATACAGTGCAGTTGCCAGCATCTAATAAATCTGAATTAGAACAACCGAATAAGGTAATGAACAGAAGAAATAATTATAGTTCTTGACGAATTATTCATAATACTCATAAATTTTATTATTTACTTAACTATAATTATTAATGCCTGAATTTTTTTTATTCCCCTTATAATAATAAAATATAATGTACAGCTGCTTATTACCTTCAAGTTTCTAAGATGAACTTCAGTAAATGAAATAAATTATAATATATGCAGGCTTCTTGATACAGCAAACACTCAAATCATACATTTATCAGTCAAACTGCGTTCAATCATATACTGATGCACTCAAGGGTTCATTTTGACTACAACAGGATTAATGTCTCACTTGCATTTTAAAATTACTATAACAATAAAAATTGCTTTGAAATTCATTGCATTATGTCTCAGTTGTAAAACAAGAAAGGCAGTACATATTTCATCTTAAGTTCCCTGGATGGAACTGTCTATTTTTCAGTTCGAAACCATTGTTTAGTGAAAATTTTTTTTTCTGTGAACTTGTGCTCACTGATCTTAGCAAGCATTGCACATTTTTCCAATAAAAATGATTAACTATTCTCAATACATAAATAAGCTTTCATTACTAAAGATAATTAAGTTTTATGCACAAAAAAGTAATTTTATGTTTATGGGACTACTATGCAGTTTTGTTCTTCGAGATTCACATATTGCATCTCTATTTTATGTATGCCTGTTTAAAACTTTATCAATTCTAAAATTTATAACATTTTTAGTTCAAACTGCCAAAATGATCTTTTATCAACAGGAGATTAAAAATTATTATTATCAGATTAAGACTGATGAAGATCTGACAGTCCTCATTTTGGAATATTGAAAAATGGTTTGTACCTCTGGATCCAGTGAGGAAAATGAAGAACAGCAGATACAACATTTCATTGATTTAATGAATTTAACAAACTCAGATGATCAATTCAAAAGAATCAAATAAATGTGCAGGCTCGCAAGCATTGGATGTCATTTGGAATCATGTCATCCCTGCCTTTATTCCTCGACTTTCAGTCTCAGAAAAGAAGGACCCTGTTATTTCATTTGATGTAAATCATTTAGCAAACGAATTAAATGTCTTTGAAAAGCTTTTTACTTCAAACTTATTGGACTGAACTGCTCAATGCACAAATCTGTTGGAACTTTTCATAGGATAGAGGGCGCTGTTGCGCCAAAGGAATACTGTTTTTTTTTTTTTACATTATGTAACTGTGGTTCACCATTGTGATGTGTGTGTATTGCTGTGATATATTTTGGTACTTTCATTAAATATAAATGAAAGATATCGTCATGAATATTTTGTAACCAAATCAAGATCAAATTTACCACTGATGCAAACTCGTTTAAACAAAATATAGTTCGAACAAGAATAGTCAAGTTATTACTAGCCTTTCGAACTACGCATTAGATATCGTTATTCGCTTCGTAACATGTGGTGCTGTCGCCGGGAATTATCGTAATGGTGGGGTGAGTAAATAGTTTTGTTGAAAATTTGGTTGAATAGAATATTTTGTAATTGTTGAAGTAGTAGGGTTGTTTGTGGAACTTTTCATAGGATAGAGGGCGCTGTTGCGCCAAAGGAATTCTGTTTTTTTTTTTTTACATTATGTAACTGTGGTTTCGCCATTGCGATGTATGTGTATTGCTGCGATATATTTTGGTGCTTTCATTAAATATAAATGAAAGATATCGTCATGAATATTTTGTAACCAAATCAAGATCAAATTTACCACTGATGCAAACTTGTTTAAAAAAAATATAGTTCAAACAAGAATAGTCAAGTTATTACTAGCCTTTCGAACTACGCATTAGATATTGTTATTCGCTTCGTAACATGTGGTGCTGTCGCCGGGAATTATCGTAATGGTGGGGTGAGTAAATAGTTTTGTTGAAAATTTGGTTGAATTGTTAGAATAGTAAATTTGTAATTGTTGAAGTAGTAGGGTTGTTTGATGTTGTTGATCTTGTTTGGTAAAAAATTTACAACTTTAGGTTTCGCATTTACTGAATGTTTGCATTGATATTTGCATTGGTATGTATTTGCAAAGTAAGAAAATGTTGTGCTTTTCTTAGAATTAGAATTTGTTGTTAATGCTTGAAGTGTGATTTGTTGTTGAAAATTACAGTTTGTTTTCTTAGAATTCTAGAATTAGAATTTATTGTTAAAGTATTTGAGGGGTAAAATTTTTTGCTAGAAACTGTGAAAATGGCTAAATTGTTAAAGCTTCGTAATAAATCAAAGTATTAAAATTTTGTATTACAAAACTAAAATGGCATTTGTAATGATAGATCATGTGGAGATATTGATGGCATCAGGTTTCAATTTAAACAAGTGCTGCAATCGAGTGCAAAATATTTTTAATCTTGATCACAGCATATATCTTTGAGAATTACTTTTATTACAAGAATGCCATACATCATGGAGAAATTCCAGTTAATATTGTTATGGATTTGGTATTTGAATAGCTAATGTTAGTTGAATTATAAATAAAATTGTTTTATTCCAGTGCAGTGCAGTGCAGTGCGTGACGAATATTAAAAGAAAGCTAAGCCAGAAGATTAAAAATACAAGAGCGAGTGCATTTAACATTTAATAAATAAATATCTCTTTTTTATTTTGAGAAAGCTACAAAAATTCTTGCGCGCGATTTAAAATCTTATAAAAAGGAGGAAAACCTCTCAATTCGATGATTTTAGTTAGTTTGGTGTTGTTTTAAGAGTTTGCTTAGAAAATTGCTCTTGTTGACTGTAGCGAATTCGTGGATTAGCTTTCTCTAGCTGTTTTGAATTAAGTTCTCTTGAATGTTTGAGTAGTTAAAAGATAACTACTGTGAGATATTGTAATACTGAATGAATATCTGAGGAAAAGTAAGTATTTTTGTTGTGATAATAATAAATTTTCTTCATTTTTCATTGGGCTTGTGCATTCAATTCCAAATAAACCCGTACGCACGCAACAATTTTTAGTGTTAGAAGTGGGATTTGAATGCCAATTACAAGAGTGATGGAAGAACAACTGAGGCAGCTCATCAGTGCTTTTGCTGCGTTCCAAGAAAAGATGGAAGCTAGCCAAGCATCCTTTAAAGATGAGATTAAAGCGGGACAGGAAGCCATTAAAGAGAAAATGGATGCTGGTCAAAAATCCATTAAGGAAGAGATGTAGGCCATTCAAGCTGGTCAATTAACTTTTAAAGAAGAAATAAAAGCTGTAAAGTAAAGATTGAAGAAAGTCAATACAAAATGAAAAGAGAAATTGCCTGCATAATAGAAACCAAATTCGATGCTATGAAAGGCAGAATAGATGTGGTCGTGAATAAAGTGGGACAAATTGAGGAAAAAGTTTCTTCTGTCAAAGAAGAAATAGAAGGAAGAGTTTGTTCCATTCAAAAGCAAATTGAACAACAAATTGATGACCGGGTTCTTCAGTTGCCAAAGAAGTGGATACTTTAAAGAAATTCGCAGCGACAGCAAGGAGCAATTTGTATGGTTTTAAATTTTTACCAATGCCTGCTCATCCCTCTCTGAAACTATCTACATATCATGGGAAGACCTCCTGGCAAGTGTATAAGACACAATTTTCTATCATAGCGGATGCCAATGGATGGGATTCCCAAACAAAGGGCTGTTATCTCGCCACTTTTCTGAGAGCAGACACAGCGGATATCCTGCAGACTCTTCCCGAAAACCAGAGAGATTCGAAACTCTATCCGGCACATTGGAGCTGCGCTTTGGGAAGAAATGTTTAAAAGACTACAGCAGGCTTCAACTAAAATCCCGTCAACAGAAGCCTACCGAAACACTTCAGGAGTTCGCCACGGATGTTGAAAGGCTGTCACATTAAACCTTTTCAGAGTGCCCGAGAGAAACAAAGCAAATCCTGTCTCTGCAATACTTCATGGCATCCGAGACCCTGAAATACAGAAAGCTCTACGAATGGCGGATTTTAAAGACATAAAAAGCGCTCTGTTGTACGCCATAAAATTCGAGGCAGCTCAACAAGCAACTTGTAGAGATCGCTACCCAGTCAGAGCAGCATCAGTTCACGAGCCAGTAGATCAACTGATGGCTCGTTTAGATGAATTAGCTAGAGAAGTCAATGCTTTGATACGGATTAGGAGTGAGAACAAAGTGGCTCTAAGGTGTTGGAAATGTGGTATTAAAGGGCACATACGACGGCATTGCAGAACACCCCAGGGCACAGATAATAAAACGGATGAGTTGACAAGACCAGTGAATGCCTTGAGACGGAAAATTGGTGAAAAGAAACCGACCCTAAAGTGCTGGAACTGTGGTGTTGAAGGACACCTGCGAAGGAACTGCAGATTACCCCAGAGCACAGAAAATAAGGCATATGATTTAAACAGACAATTAAATGCCATGGGACGGAAAAGGATTAACAAGAAACTAAAGTGCTGGAACTGTGGAGCTGAAGGCCATGTACGAAAGAATTGCAAAACACCCCAGAGTACGAAAATTGAGACCATTTCTCAGCAAGGACACAGGAAACAAATTAATTACCATATCAAGGAATGGAGGTTGCCAGATAATGAAAAACCTTGTTTTAAAGCGCTCAAGATTTCTACAGTGAGTGGCAACAGTAATGGTCTGTCCATCAATGGGCATATCGATGAAGTTTCTTGCAATATGATCATTGACACAGGAGCTAATGTCACCATCATTTGAAAAGATTTAGCTGAACAGTTTAAAGATAAACTTATTTGGACGCCATCCTGTGTTACCCTTCAGACTGTGTCTGGTGACAAGATCGACATAGCTGGGAAGTTAAACATGAACATCACGTTTGGAAGTGCCACCTACCATCACACGGTATATGTGGCGGATATTACAGATCCATGCATACTCGGACTGGACTCTTTAATAAAATACAATTTTTCCTTAGACTAAAAACAACAAACTGCTTTCAACATCTGAGTACATGACTATCCATCGTCAGAACGGATCCTCACCTGGAAACACCGACGCCTTGTCTGAAAGACCCATCTCAGAAAGCTGACGAAATCATACTAGGGTTGGAGAGAAACACCAGACTACAGTCTATTCTCCATCACAGATGCTCTTCAGTTATAACCTTTGTCTGCCTTGTGATCTCTTGTTTGGTCGCTCTCCGGATGCTCCTTCATCCCCTGAGGAATATATTCAAGATCTCCAGGCCCGGTTTGAAGTGATGCACAACTTTGCACGAAACAAATTGCACGAAAAGCGAGTCAACTTGGCGACGAAGAAGATGAAGACCCGATATGACACAAGGGCTACTGAACATCAATTTCACGAAGGAGACAAGGTGTGGTTGTGGAATCCAACCCGATGGAAAGGACTCTGTTCGAAATTACAGTCATCTTGGGATGGTCTGTACACAGTCCTAAACAGGCTGAATGACATCATGGTTCGAATCTGTAAGTCTTCGAACTCTAAACCTAAAGTCGTTCATTACGACAGGTTAGCTCATTACTATGGCCATAGTACATAGTGTAAATACTTGTAAATAGTGCAAGACTATGGTCCTTTTTGTTTCTAAATGTGTATTTGTTTTGACTTGTATTTAGTATTTGATTCGTATTTAGTATTTGATAGCATTTGAATTGTTTTAGTTATTGCATTTATTGCTCTTTTTTTTTTTTTTTTTTTTTTTTTTTTTTTTTTTTTTACTGTAATGTAATGTTTATTATTGCATTTATACTTTAGTTGTAAGTTTGGCTTCCTGTCCAGGGATTGTACTGCCCGGGAGGTGCAGTCCTTGGAAAGGGGCAGTGTTACGAATTTGGTATTTGAATAGCTAAAGTTAGTTGAATTATAAATAAAACTGTTTTATTCCTGTACAGTGCAGCGTGTGATGAATATTAAAAGAAAGCTAAGCCGGAAGATTAAAAATACAAGAGCGCATGCATTTAACATTTAATAAATAAATATCTCTTTTTGATTTCGAGAAAGCTACAGAAAATTCTCGCACACGATTTAAAATCCTATAAAAAGGAGGAAAACCTCTCAATTCAGTGATTTTAGTTAGCTTGTTGTTGTTTTAAGAGTTTGTTTAGAAAACTGCTCTTGTTGACTGTAGCGAATTTGTGGATTAGCTTTCTCTAGCTGTTTTGAATTAAGTTCTCTTGAAAGTTTGAGTAGTTAAAAGATAGATCATTAAAAGATAGATAGGAAAAGTAAGCATTTTTGTTGTGATAATAATAAATTTTCTTCATTTTTCATCGGATTTGTGCATTTAATTCCAAACGAACCCGTATGCAAGCAACAATATCATCCAAACTGCATTATGCTGATTGCAAAAAGCCTTCTGATCCACCCCAAAACAAACTACGCTGAAAAAGTTTTAGCATATCTCAAATCATTGTCCCTAAACGCAAGAAATGAAAGCTCGAAAAAAATTAAATGAAATTAAATGAAAGCTCGATGAAAAAAGTATAATAAAATATTTTATCATTACAAATTTAGTGCTAAAACTACTAGCAGCAAGCATAAGCTTCTGTGAGGAATATATAGTAAATTAGGTATTAAAATCCAATTTGATATTTTATTAAACAGTCTGAAGAGAGATATTTATATATTCAATACCACTGAATGCCTAAACCACATTAAAAATACTGGGTACTTTTCTGCTCCAGCCATACCATGCATTTTTAACACTACACCGGCATATTTGGCTTATTTTTTATCCTTACTTTTGGCTTGATCATAGAGGAAATGAAAGGATCTGGAACAGCAACACGGAAAATTCTCTAATTTCATGAAAATAAATCCTCAAAAAAAAACTAGTTGTGCAGAAAGAATATGATCTAGATAATTTTTTTACTTTCTCTGAATAAGTTTATATCAATTTCCACAATTTTGTTGTGACCATCACTTTTAATATTAGCATAAGATAACAAGGAATCGACTCAAACTTCTCTTATATAATTATTATAATCTGCCCCATTATGATTCATTTGAAGCAGGCTATGGTTTCGCACAAAACTCAACAGATGATAACTTCTATCACATGTAAATGACTGACACAGCAATGAAAAGAATGCATGGCATAACAAACTGCTCTCACGTTCGAGCATCTTTTTCCAATTAGTATGAGGGATCGTTGCACAGCAATTTTGGCTTTCAGTCGCATTTAATTTCACGAGGCTGTTATTTGAACAGTCCGTCTTTGTGAAGAACATTTTCTTGCAAAAATTTAACACTAACGTTTCTATTTTTTTAAGTTAAGATACAGAAATCATTGTTATAAATAAATAAAATAAATGATTAGATAAAAAATTTGCACAAGTGATGATTATAAAAACAACTATCAATTATTGCAGGAAAGAAGGCAAACCAAACTCGCAACACCTGACATAAAAAAGTACACCAAAATGAAAACAAGCCGAGTGAAATAATGAAAAGTAACAAACACTGATTATACATTTTATTGAATTTCTGTGAATATCATTGAAGAATCATTGCACAATTACAATTTCAGTTCACTAAAGACTAAAAAAAAAAAAAAATGAATTAGACAATGCACAATTCTATACTAATAATATTTAAACGCAAATGATTCCCCTCCCCCTGAGCTATAAAACATTCTCTGATACTTTCCTTTAAGCCTTTTTACACCAGGTTAACCACTTACATCAATTTAACCTAGGGTCAGAAACAATGGTTACTAACTTAAAATAGCAGCTGATAATAAAATTCCAATACTATTTATTCTCACTAAAAATTTAAAAAAAAAAATATGTTCTTTGTACTAAAAAAAAAAAAAAAAAAAAAAAAAAAAAAAAAAAAAAAAAAAACTCACTAAAAATAATGTACAGAACATCTTTAAAATAAATAATAACATGCTTGGGAATTATAAAGAACTTACTTGCATTCCATATGTTTAACTATCCTCAGGTAATTCTTGTACTTTTTCAGACGATTCTTAATTTCATAAAACAAACACCGTAGTTGCATAGCAATAACTAGGCTTGCCATGGATAAGAAAATATTTCCCCATATCTATTACATGAAACAGAAATTTTATCAGAGATACTAAATTTTTATACAAGAAAAATTCTTCAGTATTTATTAACTAAAAGAAAAATTATACAAAAATACATTTTACACAGTATTGCCAACTGCTAAACAAATAAAATTACCTAAAGATATATATTACTAGAATGTGCATGTAATACTTACTAGCATATGTAGATGATGACAGAAGTCAATAATAAGTGCAGCAAGTTCAAATCCTAACTCTGTGTAATACACATAGGAAGCTCTTTTCTCCCAAGCACCTTCATGTGTGGCATCTAATAAATATATTGCATACCTGAAAATACAGATTGGTTTATTTGACTTAATGTGTCTCATTTGTAAATTCTGTTCTACATATATGTATATTATTTCTATAAAATGTAAAGTGCAGGGTGCTCAAACAGTTATGTTAAAAAAAATTGATATATTATAAAAATGGTAGTTGTAAGTAGAAAAGAATTTTTTAAACTTTTCCTGAACATATGCAAGTCATTTACCTTAATTGGCAACACTTTTAGAATATAAGCATTTTGCTTAAGCTCTGTGGGCACTGATCTTATCTTAATGAATCAACTTCTTGTTTATGTACAAAAAGGTGATCAAACATATCACTACTCCCGAGATAATTAGTACTGCATATTCTTTCCCTAAGTCATACATCAAAAGTCACTCAAAATGTTATGAAAAATTTCACAGCAAATTCACAACTACAAGTGGGCAGAGAGTATATGCCATTGTATTTAGTCTAACTAATGATTGCATTAATGCACAAATAGGTTTAACTGAGAGATATTTCAAATCATATTCTTGCAATAAATATTAGTATATTTAGTATTTAATATTAGTATATTTTTAAGCTGCTTTTTTTAAATAGTGCATCAAACAGATCCAGAGCATGTCATTTAAATATCTGTATTTGAGAAAAGGAAATTTTTTTATGGACTCTGGAAATTATTTGAAGGCTGTGTTTTCTTAAAAAGATAGGTGGCATTGTTTGAAAAGCCATTCGCACAATGGCTTTTCATATCGGGTCAGTCATAAGTTTGTGCCCATTAAGAGTATGCATGGAATTCAGTATGACACATTTACTAAAATAATGCAATATTGAACCTGTTGAAACTTGTCATCGTTTGACTAACATATTATTCAGTTCATCACCAACTTTCATAAATATCGAACGCATTTTAGTACCCATAGAAGATGAATATAGATAATCAGTACAAACATGCTGTGCTATATTTTTTATTTTTGTGTGGTGAATCTGCTAGGTTTGCAGCGATAAAAATTAATAGTGTACATGGTGACACACTATTACTGTAAGGACTGCCCGAAATAGTTTTAAAAATTTAAAGTTGGAAAAAGTAGCATTGCTGATGAACCCCCTTCAGGACGTTTTGAACTGTTAGAACCAAATCAAACAATTAATTCAGAAGTTTATAGTGAACAACTTTGCCATCTAAACTCAGAATTGATCAAAACATGCCCACGACTGGTGAATATCAAGAAAGTGTTGTTTCATCATGATAACGCTAGATCGCATACGGTTTGAACAATGCTGCAAAAAATTAGTGAATTTAATTGGGAGCTTTTGCCACATCCTGCTTACTCCCCAGATATTGCCCCAAGAAAGTTTCATTTATTTCATGCCTTCTAAATTTTTTTACTGGGAAAAAAAATAAATTCTAAACAGGATGTACACAATGAACTTTCAAGTTTTTTTGCATCAAAACCTACATAGTTTTTCTACAGCAACAGTATAAAAAAGCTGCCTGTAAGATGGTGAGACATTGTAGATAATGGAGGAAAATATATAACTGATTAAAATGTTAAATTGAGTTTTTTATATTATTTAAAAATTTACCTAAAAAATGTGCATGAATTTATGGACTGATGCAATACAATGGAAACAAATTTCCTGCTGTGCCAAAAGCTTATATAAAGAACATGAAAGGAATGCATAAAAATGTAAAATAAAACAAATGATCAGATCAAATAAGAAACACAACAATCACTGTTATGCTTTTTTACACTATTGCTGCTTATGATGGTTTCAAAGTCATTGCTTTGTAAAGGGCATTGCAACTTGCATCTCAAATGTTTATATGTTTTGTCATATCTCGTGCAAATGGAACAACAAAGATTCCAAGCCATAGCAATAAATAAATAAAAGTTACATATCTAATAAACAACAATCTGAATTTTCTACTATTGTTTCACATAAAGTCATGCTTTTCAGAAGCTTTGTTGTAGCAATATAATAATGATGATTTCATTATTTGAAGGAAAAATTTCATTGCATAAACAAAGCTAAAATCAAGGAAGAAATTTTTAGGACCACTATTAATAACAGAATTTTTAAAAAGCTCTTTAGCCAAGTTGAAAACTGGGATATAAGAAAGTGAAAAGTGTTGCATATACATATATTTTTTTTAATCATAAAGCCCCCGGAGTTAGTATAAAACTGTGGTGTAAATTGTCATAGTCATATAAAAATTGTGGTGTCTTTAAGATATATCTCCTAAAATATATTTCTTGTACTTCCATCTAAACACATGTCTAAAATTTAAGGATAAGCAGCATTTTACACGAAGAGAAAAACTAATATGAACAAATATGACAAGATGTTTATTTCCAGGTATTAATACACGATAATAACTAACAACATCTTGAAAATACAGAATTAAAAGTAATGGCGGCAGGTCTTTTGCAGAAAAGTTTCACATAAGAATTGATCATAGGCCAAGAATGGATAAAAAGTACAGTGGTGCCTCACACAACGAACTTAATTCGTTCCAGGAGCAAGTTTGTTATGCGAAAAGTTCGTTATGTGAAATGTGTTTTCAGATAACAATACATGTTAAAAAAATAATTCGTTCTGTAGCATAAAATATGCTAAGATGACATAAAAAAAGATAAATTTTTTGTCATTATTTTTATTTAGATACATCTAAAAACATAATTTAATTTCTGCTCGGCATTCTTTTCCAGAAAAGACCCGTTTCATCGGCATTGAACACTTGTTGTAGGCAGTATCCTTCATCCTTAACCCTTTAACTGTCAAGTTATTTTGATGATTTGGGTACACAAATTGTCAAATTTTTTATTGGAAAATTTAAATGTTTAGTACAAAATAAAATATACTTATGTAGTTAAAAATTGATATTTTGAAGTACATGGGTAAAATTTTAAAGTTTTGTAGCCACTGCATATTTGCTTGAGGCGGCTGCCACTCAACATGGCAGTTATAAAGTTCGCTTCTAGTGAAGCATTATTTTCTGAAAATGAAAAAAATTAATTATTTTCTAAAAAATAAATAAATATAAGCGAATACCTATTAGTAGTTCAGTAATTCAGTCTTGTGGTACAACTGGAAACACTTTTCCAAGCACAAACCAACTCCATAATCACTACACCAGAATCGTGTTTCCTTCCTCATTTTTTCTCAATTTTTATCCTTTTTCAAACAACACACTTTGCACTGTCTTGTAGGCTCACGTTTCGCAGGAGTAGGAGGAATATGGGATATAAAATGTCGTTCAGTAAGACGGGCAGGGTTATCTATTGTAGGTGGTCTGCCAACATTCTTTTGTCCAGAAGCTGCATCATCATATTTATGTAAAAGCTCTTCTACAACTTGGATTCAAAATTCTAAAAATGTAATACGTTTCCCAACTACATTTTTATAGGGCAAATATGAGTTCCAGAGTACCTTGTCTAGTAAATGTAAAAATATCTTTTTATAATATTTTTCTGACGTTTCCGGATTGTTGGATGAAAGGATATTTCTTGATTACAGCGATCTACACATACCATAGATAGACTGTAATTAGAAACAATCTTCGGCTTGAGTATATCTCCATTTTTTTATTTTTGAGGCTGACCATGGAAGTATCATGAATACTACTCATCAAACACACATCCTTCATCTTCGGTTGAGGAATCTAAATCATCTATATAACGTTTCAAAGAACTGGACGCCATTTTACAACAAAAAGATCCCGTGCACTTTGAACCAAAGAACTTATAACCTCTAACTTTTGAAATCTTCAGTAAAGTGCTGTCATCTATTGAATTGAGCGATATTCAATTGAGCAACATTAACTTTTCCCGAGATACAGTCGGGTTTGACAAAGAGATGAAGCCGAAATAAACGTCTCTCGATATATATTCGGGTATAACAATACAATGCACTCAAAAAAAAAATTGCCCCGAGCAATACTCGGGCGTGACATTTTCGAACACCAGTGCTGTGCCCGAGATTATCTCGGGCTTGACAGTTAAAAGGTTAATATATTTTTGAAAGTTAATAGAGAACTTTTCTGCTTCTTTCTTGTCAGCACTGCCAGCCTCACCATGCACAGTAACGCTGTGGATTCCACACCTTTTCTTAAATCTAAAAAACCACCCCTTGCTGGCTTTGAATTCTTCTTCATTATCTTGATTGCTGCTACTTCCAGGGACGTTTTTCTTTAGATCGTCATAAATTCTCTTGGCTTTGTGACAGATAATATCTTGGGTTGTTACGTCACCTTTCACCTGCCGTCCTTAATCCAAATCGCTAATAGCCTCTCCATTTCCTCGTGGATTGAAGACCTATGTTTTTCATGAAATAGTTTTGATACTCCTTTGGCTACTTTGGCTGATTTGATTGCATCCTTATTTGTCAAAATGGTGAAAATGGTGGTTTTGCTGAGGCCAAACTCTTTGACGAGGTCCCACTATTTCACCCCACATTCACTCCTCCTAATTATTTCCTGTTTCATTTCAACAGAAATCACCTTCCTGCTTTTTTTAGAAGCCATGATATAGAAAAAATATTGATTTTAACTTAAAAGGACGATATTGAGTTTAACTTAAAAGGAGGTATTGCTGCGATACGTGCTTAAGTTAAGCGCAGTGACTAATGACTGCCTACAGTGCCAGCGCGGAAGGATGCAATACATCGGCAGCGATCGTGGAAGCTCGGGCGAAGCAGTCGTGGAAGCTCGGGCAAAGTGGTCGTAGTCGTGGAAGCTCGGGCAAAACGGTCGTGGAAGCTCGGGCAACTTCATTGTGTGAAACGAAGTTCATTGTATGAATCATGAAATGAAGTTCGTTGTGTGCATTGTTCGCTGCGCGAGGGGTTCTTTATGCGAGGCACCACTGTAAATACCATTACGTAGGCAATACCTCTCAATTTGGAATATGTTCATACTGAGCTGTCAGTCATTAGCTAATAATCTAGGAGTTCCTATAACAGATTATTTTACTCCTCCTTTAGAATATGAATCAGGCCTTGTTTGTTCAAATAAAGGA